CCTTTATAGAAATCGCAGCTGTAGGTTGGCAGACAACATGTGCCATATCAGCCCCCTATTAGTCCAAGTTTTCAAAGTTATTTTAAAAAAACTATGTATGTTTTTGATTAGAAATAGAGAACTTACGAGTTTCAAGGCTGAAAACGCACTAAAATATGGGGCTCCCGTATAACTGAAATGAAAACAAATTCTTATTTATATATATCTAGAAATGTAAAAAATATGAAAAGCATGCATACTCTTCAGAGCCACCAATAACACCGACTCGGCCTGAAAAAAAGGTTGTGAATGTTAATAATAATACTTTAAATAACGCAAATTAATATAATTATATACCGGATTGTCCTTTATGGAGTTCATAGGAAAGTGGAGGAACAAGCCGACTGATTGTTTTAAGAGAAGGTTTTGTTAAAGTCATTTTACAACATCTAATCATTACCGTTACACTCAAGCTTCTTTAGTGATCGTAGCGATTTAATTTGATTGGATGATCAAAATCGCAATGAAAATTAACTGATCGACAATTTAAAAAAGTCATAAAACACTACAGGTTTAATTGAGTAAAATCCACTACGTGTTTGGTTCAACCCAAAATCAACCAATCATGATTGAGAATTATCAATTTAAAATTTATAAAAAATTATGATATCTATGTATTTAATTATAAGCCAAAAGTAAGTTTAAAAGGTCAATTTTTTGAAACTTCGCTTCCGTATTTACCCACCAACCCATCGTAAACTTCATAAACCCATCGTTCTCATCCTAAAACCCCCGAGTATTTCAACAAACAGTAAAAATAATTCTTTCTACAGCTTAGTGTAGATCTTTTATTGATATTTATTTGTTTTTTATCTTGTCTAGTGGCCTTTTTATTAGTTACGAATGCTTTGTTTCGTTACTTTCTCAACGTTACTTAAGAGCAAAATTTGTGTAACGGTTTATCAAAAAAGGGCCCTAAAAATCAAACACGCCGATATGATAAAAAACCTAAACGCGGATTTCACCCTAACGTGATTTACGTAGCGAATTTTACTAATTTGCAACGCGGGTTTCACCCAGTTCTATCATTATTA